GGGGTTTATACGCATACGACGTGTTTATGTATATATATATTAATATATTATATATTATTAATTATCAATAATTATGTGTGGAAATATCATGGTTGTAGGTTAAAACCGTTCATTTTCAGCACATGATTATTATTAAAAATATCTTCAATGACATCAGTCACTCGATGATATAAGTAGGTAATCAAGGAGTATTAAATTGTTTATATTGTTAAATTTATACATTTTATTTTTTATTTAAAAAAAACTTATACTTAATACCATTGATTGGATGTTGATACTTATCAGTATCAATAATCCTTAATTGTATGTACATTCGAATCATAAATGTCTTAGATAAATATATTAATTATAGGTAAAGTATATAATATTCTTTAAAACTAGCAAGACATGTAGTTTATGAATAATTAGATTCAATTTTGATGATGTTAGAAATTAGAGTAATGTATGTCTTGAAATATATCAGATACATAAATTAAATTGATACCTATATGACCAAGATTTCACGAAAACACAATATTTAATATAATGATAGGTACGTATATTATGTAGTATTGTGAATTTAAAATTTTGTTCATATTATTGACAATGTATTCTTTCAATCTTTTTAAATTTAATTTAAGGCAAAACTCCTTGAAAAAATGCATTTATACCATTGCAGGCATACGTTTCGTTGTTCATATACGTAGTGTATAATATTAATGGATAATAATCGTGACCAATTGGCCAAACCATGTCTCCATTCGAGTCTCTTCTGAACTGAAATCTTTTCACTTCAATACTTAGGTGATAAATGTATCTTATTTAAAAATACATTCTCGAATTCTTCGGTTTGTATCTAAAGTTTTCCAAGGACAAATTGAAATCGAAAATTGATTTAAAAAATAGATTCTAGCCAAATATATATACATCACATAGGTACTAGTATTTAGCAATATTTTGATCACAATCTCTCATTCTTTAAAATTGATTGACATTATTAAACTTATAAATACAAATTTTAAATGCATGATGTCTGATACAAACGATTATATCGATGATAACTTTTAATTATTACAATTAGCGTATACGTTAGGTCAGTACTCAGTTAACTAACTGTTAACTACTAAAAGTGAAATAAGTCTTTGTAATTAAAATATCAACTTAAAATTCATCCATATAATGCTGCGATTATAACATATAACAAATGTAATTATTAAATTAAAATAAGATTCATTCGAACAATAAACAAAAAAATTAAGTATGAATTCGAAATTAAAAAAGAGAAAATACTCCTCGGCAGGTACCATAAAGAAAACACGTTCATATAATAAATGCGTGGTTACGCGTTACAGAATTCTGATATAGTGAAATCCATGATAAAAACATATACTTACATCCTACTTACATTTATACAAAATCATCTTATTATCATAATTTTTAAGCTTAGAATATGTAGATATTACATAATATTATATAGATACACATACAATATACAAATAAAAAGAATGAAAATACTATCGTTGGTTCAATATGAATTTAGATTAATGATCCACACGATAACACTTTTTCCCCCGCAAAATAAAAAATACATAAAATATACCAAAACGGAACCAAGGACGGCTCCAGAGATATAGTCGGGGGGGGGGGAAGGGCTAAGTCATAATTTTTTGAAAACTTTCGTTATTATAATTTGTTTATTTTTAGTATTTTATTTTCAACAATAGGTATATAATTTTTTAGAAATACAGCTTGGAAGCGGGCCGTGGACCCTTGGATCCCCGGAGTCACCCCCGAGGGGCCTGCAACAGGTTTCGCCAGGAACCTCGATAGTGAAAATTAACATTTTCCAAATTAATTTTTTTATATTTAACTAACCGTTCCCTTACATTTCTTAGCCTTCTCTGTGTAATTATATACTACACAAGCTCAAAGCCGCTGTAACACTCGGGTTGCCACATCATTAGAAATTAGAAATTTACTGAAAATATGTTTGACAGCGAACAATTTGGTTTTATCTATACAATAATATGTCAATATTTACCGACTACCAGATACATAGATAATAATCATTTGATGGGCTAAGTTTGAAAAGTTCAAAACTTACGTCACACAATAAGTTTGAACCAATAGTAAATAAGTATATAAGTAAATAATATAATATCAACCATGATTCACCGAAAATTCTCAACACTCTTTTATCCTTTAATAATTTATTTATTACAATTCTGATAAATTCTAAATGTCTACAAGTATATTTATTATTTGATACCATTTAAGAAGTATTCTGGGGTGATATAAAATTATTTTGTCAAATTAAAAACCCAATTTGTACTGTAAATTGTAACTAAGATAATTATTAACTATTAATATTATTGACACACTTAAATCAAAATTTAGACGAATATAATTTCTGAGTTATTTAACTGTACCGAATACCGATATGTATTAAAAATAATATTCCTTTATAGTTTTGTGCACAATTAAAATATAAAATATAGCCAATATAGGAATGTAATATTCAGTCTAGTAAACTTATTATGAGGCCAAATTCATATAATTTGCATAGATTCATTACGCGGGGGTGACAAGCTTGGTGAATCACTCTGTAGAATATTATACACATTATAGCTACAAACACTACATTATAATACTACGTTAAACTGTAGACGTGGAATAATAAACACGAAGTCACACTGATTTTTACACAGACACACAGCACACTTTTACTAGTAAATACCAAATTCAATCTTGTCACGTGCTCTTGACGTCTTACGTGTGTCTTATTTACTGCAGCCCAGCCCAAAAGACTGAAGGAATGCCGGAACAAACGCCGATCTAGGAAAATGATGCTATTCGCGAGCGTGTCTAGTGTATTATATAGGCGTAATCAAAACACGATTACTTCATTTCATGCGGATGTATTAAAATGTAATTATTTAAAAAAATAAAATAATATGCAACAGCTGTACCGAACCTGCAGGGTGTTGCATTTACACAATCCTATAGGAATGTATGTAATAAGTTATAAGAATATAATCATCAGTGTGTTTGTAATGTTTATAATTTACATTTTACACTAACAATATTGTAACTACTCTACAAGACAAATAATGACAATAATAGTATAATGACGATGATTAAAATATATAAACTAGTGCATACAAATAGAATACAGACAATACAGTAGTATGCACGGTTAATGTTAGTTAAAACATTTAACTATTATAACTTAAAAGTATGCATTAAGAGAGTTTAAATTTTAGATAAAGTGAAATTGAGTAGCACAGGGTCACTATGATGTATGGACTCATCTAAGCTTTAAATACTTAAGCTACTATAATAACCTACAATATATCTATAAATTCAATTCACCGAAATCCTCAGAAAACTCTTGTTCCCCGAAATATGAAATAAAAAATGTGGGAGTTTCCCAAGTGCGTCCCAAAATGACTCTTTTTAAATGTTCCTAATGCGTCCAGAATTAAATATCATCCGAGTGCGTTCCAAGAAAAAAAGTCATATTTTGGACATAGCCCGAATGCGTCCCAGTTCATTTAGAGTTACTCAGGGTGCATCACTAGGAGGTTAACTGGCTTACATGCCAAAAATATTTTGTCGTTGTTATTTATTTTTATATTTATTATTAATTTATTTTAGGTTACACCTTTGAGTCTGGGTGCCTCTACTATTTATTCAAATTATAATCAAGTTAAAATTAATCTCTCCACCGTTTCCAGTGTTTTACAGTCACAAATGTACAAATGATGTACCTACAAAGTATTATAGTCTTACATTTGAACCACCATCATATTCGATTGTCAAATATGTATCTTAAATAAGTACCTATAGCAGCTGTGGACCGAGGACACACTCGGACTACGTTATAATAATTTGTCGATAAAACCGCGGACGCACTTGGGCTATAAAAGAGGTAAAAATTAAAAACGGGAAGCACTCGGGATATATCCAAAAATGTACTTAATCATTAAAAAGTAAAACTCAAATAACGAAAAAATTATAACGATAACAATTTTAAATAAAATCAACGATGTTTTTTTTAATGTAGCGTCGTTATGACTTATGACAATATAATGGGTACTTCCTTTGTAAAATAAATAATAAAAATATACAATGTTTTAAAAACACATAGATTAACGGGGAGAATGACTAGTTTATATTGATAAAAGAATCACCTTGTACCTACATAAAGCGTATAATCGACCATTACATTATAAATTATTATATTACGGAATGCGATCACCTGTAACATTAAAGGTACCTAGTACCTACCTACCTATATATAGCTTTCTTGTATATATATGGCGAATAACTTGCAGCGCGGGAGAGACAGCGTCGTTCGTTATTTTACTTCCTGATGTCAGGCCAGAGCGTTTCCTCGTCAGCGCGAAAATAATAATAGCCGGTACCTATATATATATAAGTAATAATAATAGAAATAACGACGATGATTGAAATTAATAAATCGTTGCGCGTATACTTATCCATTAATATTATAATGACAAGTTGTTCGAGTCCGGTCGACCTTGCTCGTGTACGCGAACGTAGTCGTTTATAATATACATTATATAAAATATAATATGTATGATATAGAGTACGTGTCGCGAACAATAATATTAATAGCGATGATAATAATAATTTAATTCGTATTAAGTCGACCGCCGGCAACGGGCGGCAATACTCACGCGGTTCCGGTGAAAGCTCGGAAGTGTACACCGTACTGGTATTAATGCCCCCCCGTTTGGCGTGCGGGCGGAAAAAAATTTTCAACAAATAATCGTATCGTATTTTACATTACCATTATTGCATTACCATCGTTATTAGAGGCCAACGCCGGAGACCTTGCGGCTTGCGCTGCCTCATCCCACTCTAAAAAAAAAAAAAAAAACCAAACTAAAACCGTAAAAATATATATCGTTCATGAATAATATCCGCCGCGCACATTGTCTCGCCGCTGTCTCGTCCGTCGCCGCCGACGTCGGTTCGTTTAGTATAATAGCGGCTCGCCGACTCCACGCCGCAGTTAACGTCCTTTATCACCATCGTTACAGCGCATAATAAGTTGTCGTCGCTGTACAATAATAATAATAATAATAATAACAATAATAATATTATACTGTAGTTGTCGCGCGATTATAAAGTGAGCAATATATAACAATACGGTGGCGCACGCGACCGGCAAACCGCGTCCGGCAGCCGACGACGCCGCATCATCGCCATCAGTATCCGTTCGGTCACCGCTCCGCACGCACGCGCTCACGATTCGGCGACGGTCGTCCGCGAGACGTTCAAATTTTTTGGCAAAAAAAATTCGTTCGATTTTCATTTTTCCCGCTGACGGCGGCATAACAATAATATGTGCCGGTGCCGGTGCCAGCCCGACGCGTTCGCAGTGAACCGCCGCGCGGTCGCGTTTATCGCATTATAATAATATAACAGTGCGCACCTCGTACTGCGCGTGTTTTCGGAAACGAAAATTCGAATTTCAGTTCGACCCTCCCCGCGTTCTTGTCGTTTTTTTTTCTGTGATGTGCGGTTTTGCTTGTTTCAATAATATCGATATTAAACACCACTGATCTCCGCGTCGCATCGCGCACGTAATTTAATAATATTATTAAAATTACACCATATTACAATACAGTCATCTCTTAAATTTTCGGACGACTGGACTCCGACCTCCACAGGTTTGTCATACGTATTTTTCACAACACGCTATTATATGTCTTGACGAGTTTCATTTTCTAAGCATACCTATGTAGTATAATGTATATTATAATAATTTTAACAACGGCAGACGATTAAGGCCCGATGAATTTCATAATAATTATGTATGGGTACCGTTGGAAGAACAATATTATGATAGACAAATGCTTGCATTGAGACTACAAAATAAATTACTATACACCTGGAAAAATATTAATTTGTTTTTAAATTGTAACTTAAATAAATAAAACGCCCACAAAGTTTGACTCTTACACTTGCACTAGCTGCACTTACCGATTATTAATGCATATAATTTATACGGTTTATATTATTTATTATAATTTATATTTAAATTATATAATAAATATTACATGTTGATAAATGACGCTATTATTATTATGTGTCAGGACAGAATTAAACATTTAAATCTAATCAGACCTTAGCACAACTTTTTTTTACTACCCTTTTCAAAAGTTAATCATTTTCGTATAATATGCTACTAGTCTACTACTACTTCATAATATGATCGGTAAAAATCAAATAATAATTTTTCATTTAATATTTCTTGTTTAAAAATATATCTCTAGAAAAACGAAGAAGATACAATTTATTAAAAACTATAATAACCTTTTAAAAATATTATATAACCGTCAACTATAACCAACTAATATATGTTTTTATTAAAATTTCATTTTCAAACAGGGAATTCAAGTAATTTTGGAATAATTTGAATACATATATTTAAGCTCTTAATATATAAATTAAATTGTTTGAAATGCAAAACGAAAATATAATCAATGCATATTATGCAATTAATTTTCCAGAAAATATTTTAAATTTTGTAATATTGTGCAAAATTGTCTATGATACTTTGTTTTTAATCTATGAATCCGTGATGTTAGATGTTATTAAATTTAAAATCAACCTAGTTTGATATCTTGAAAAATATTTAAGTCCCCATAAAAAATATTTCATATTTAATTAACTATTTTAATATTATCTATAATATTCTATACTAAATTATTTAAATTATTTAAATAGGTAATTATGCATAATACTTAGGTACAAGGTGCGTAACAGCTTATGAAATATAATACATATTTTTTCATGTCATTAAAAATTAAAATATATCGTAATTTATATTTTATACAATACAATAGCTAGTTAAATGCTTATATAAGAATGTGTGATAATATCAAAATCTGCAACGTTGTTATGATGACTTGACGCAGTTTTAATACCACTACAGTAATTACTCTAACTATCCTGGAAAAAAAAAACTAATGATACCAAACGGAAGGTGTTGGTATATTACAATACTAGTTACTAGGGCGTTTTTAAATTTTAAATTGATAACATGATGTATTCAATTTTGAAGAAACCATTAAACCAATTGTAATTTTTAAACTTATGGTAGATAATTAACTTGACAAACATAGCTTGCAGGTTAGTAACACGCAATAATGGACTTTATAATCTTAAATTGTATATTTATCATCATTAGTTTTGTTGTAGGACAGTCAGTATGTATGTAGGATTAATTTGTTTTTATTTAATTGTTTTTAAGATTTTCCACCGTTAAAAATGTATTAATAATTATTATACTATTAATTGACAGGCACTCGCTAAGTCGCAACGCACCGTTGCGTCGCTCAGCATTTAAATCGAGAATATCGCTTGATTTGTTACAAAAAACCACGTCGGGTATCTAAATGTATAACTCGAACATACCTCGCAGAATCCGGGTCCGGGTCTTATAGTAATAAAATTGAGATGGAAAATATTGGAAATTAAAATAATATTAAATTACGGTCCAATATTTTACGTAGGTATTTAAAAATCTATATATAAAAAAATCACCTGCCTGCCTGCGGGCTTAAACTTATTTATATAGCTACTTACGATAAACTGATTTTGGGACGCTACGAATTTATTCCGGTTTTGATAGTAATATATTCATTTTATTGGTTCGATAATCGCGTTATGTTTCAACAATTAAATTATTGTTCGATGCTGTCATTATATAATAAAAATAATATTACCTTTCATTCGGAGAGTTTTACCGAAAGTGCTTCTATTTCATTATTTTTTTTGTATGACTGTTAATTAAACTTGTGTTATGATTAAAGATGAAAGATTAAAGACTATTACCCATGGCCATAAGATATAGTGTTGTTTATATTTTTAAATTGTAATAAAAGTGAACCTATTACATACAGCGTGTAAGTGTCTGATAATATTATATAAACAAAATGATGTACCTACCTTTCATAATTTTACAATTTATAATTATTATCAAATATTATCTAATGTATTGAGAATCATACCAATTTATACCTATTTATTTGTTATTTTGACATGTTTATAATTTTTAGTCATTGTTGTTCATATTGCAATGATAACTACTATTACATATATTTTTATTTACAATTATTACGTTTTTATAATCATAGGACATAGATACCTACATGCCACGGAAATCTGTAACTGCTCGCGGAAGTCTCTAATAATTTTTTCTAGTCAGGAATTCACTCGATTAAGCGCATTTTCGTGATGTTATTTTTTTCGATGGTTGAGCAACGCATACCATTGCATGCCACTACGGGTCATTGAGTCATTCGTATGACATTCGCCTTGGTGTTCAGAGCATTCTGTTCAGGAGTCTGAGTGAAGTGAACGTACGAAACACACAAAATATAATATGATATAATAATATATAAGCAAGATAACAAGTAATGAATAGTTATCTTTTTTATTTTTGTTCAATATTTTTTCAGAAAATTAATAAAAGTTTAAGTTTGACGTTTTTTTAAACTGACAGAAACAATAATATAAAACCCAGGGTCAGGATGTAAATAATAAATAAAACTTACGTAGCTAATAATAGTCACATCTATATGTATATTGTATAGTATTTTATTAAGTGGGTGGAAAACAATAATTAATGAGATTAGAATCAACTAATTTTAAAATAGCTCGTATTTAACTTGTATAGTAAACAAAATGTATAATACCTAACTCTACTTTTTTACTCGTCATCTCAAACCCCAGTTTTAAACAGAAGTTGGAAACATATAAGTAGTTATATACATTGTAATATTTATGTTAGGTTCACAGAAAATTATCGATATACAAAAATTGTATACTAATATGGTTAATTTTATTATTTATGATTGAATTTGATCGAACAAATATGTGTCGACATAAGTGATATTGGTACTTCGTCAAGTTAAGAAGCAAATATTGTTGGACGCGTTATATGACTTAACAAGTGCGTGAAAAATAAACATTTCCAATTTTGGAATACTAAAACAAATACCAATAGTGAAAGGATTGAGCACATGTGCAAGTCTTTGTTATCAAACTTATTTTATTTTTCACAACATTGCAGTTTAAATAACTATTAACAGTACCTTTTAAATATTTAAAAATGAAATGGATTATTAAGCATAATAATACATTATATGATCCTATTAGGCTTAAGATTGGTGGCATTTCACTTACAATACGTTTGATAACTTATTTGGTCATATTTCTTTTGATATATTAATTGTTGAGCAAACGTCATTCCATTTTCAATTTTCATTATGCTTTTTATTCTAACTTACAGAAGTGAGATGTTTTTAAAAACCAGTTTTTAACTAACACGATTGACGTGTGCTATGATTATAAATCATATTATTAGGTACCTATATTATTGTGATTACCTATAAACAAAAAAAGCTTTATTTTAACATTATTGTTTCAGAGTTTCGCAGGCAGTAATACGATTAAAATAATCACAGAACCAATTTAAACAATAAATTTAGTATGAAAACTAATAACCACCGCATAATAGTTTTCAGTAAATAATAAATAGTTAGATTACTTATGTCGTACGTACATACATCGAGTGAAAATTGATTCATCATACTGATGTTGAAAATAGTATAAGTCCTTAAATATTATAATGTAATAAACTAATAAAATACCTACTATTTGGCAATCAGCTGGTACTATAAATTATTTTACTAATAAATTTATCTGTACACTATATCATCGCAACTGAATATCATGTATCCTATCAATTATAAAATCAAATTTATTCATATATATTGTTTTCATTATGATAATACTAAACGTTTTTAAGTGTTCATAAATTTTATTATTATAGAATATAAGAATGTGATAGCGTTATTACTATTACGTTGGTTAAAATAAATTATTTAATGATTAAATTGATTTCAGGTGTGATAACATGACCTACGATATAGATAATTGGCGCGTTATATGTTACATATTATGTTTAATTTGAACAACCGATTTTGTGTCTTATAATGTTAAAATTGAAAGAAAAATATAATATTATCAATCTAAATTCAGTGTAAAACTGTAAACATAATATTCGAACATTTTTCAAATTTATATTTTTATGGGCATCGTTATGTCATTAGTTATTTTACATATTACACGTACCTAGTCTGCCTATGTATAATAAATACTACTATATTTTTTAATGCAGTCTTACGATTGAGTTTTGTCTCTTATACAGCAAAATTTCTAAAGTTTCTGTTTAACTAAATATTTTTGTGAATCAAATCTGATGAAAACCAAATTGGTATATTCTTTTTAACGAGTTTCTCTATAATACGGAGGTTTTTTTACACTAGATATCGTAATATGGAAGGTTAGCTGTAAAAGGACATCGGAAATATACCGTCTATACTTTTCAATTAATTTGCTAAACGTATCTATTTATTAATGTTATGCAACACGAATAACGAATAATCGTAGAACAGTATATATTTCGTTAAACATGCGTATTCAAATGGATAAGTTAATTGTTATTTTACCACTATTTAAACAGTCGATCGGTTCAAAACTGTTTTCCGAGAAAAATACAAGCCCAGGGGGCTCTGCAGATAATATCTCGAAAATACTTAACTGATAGGTAATAGGTGTTTGTTATAACCATCGCAAGGTAATTGGCCTAGTGGCACACTATACTAATATAGCACTTACATAACAAATGTGTATGGTATAAGTCTTTAAATAGACCCGTTCAATAGAAATCACGATTTTTGTTTTCCTAACGTTCAAGAGTTAGGTACTTAAACGGTTAGACTACGTATAGGTATTATATTATATTACACCTCTTAGGCGCGTAGGTAATGTGTACGTAATAATGCTGACGGTTGCATGCAGCGTATACAAATATATAGTTAGCCTTCTGTAAACATAGTCTTAAAATATTTCTCGCGGAAAAAAATATAGTAATAATAATATGGGTAATAATAAATATCAATAATAATATGAAAATGATTTGTCGTCGCATTGTCGCGGACAAAAGAATTGGAGCAAAAAAAAAGATCAACTTATTAACACGGTAGCCAGCCCGTGCACACAAAAGCCACTTTACCCCGACCTTGGTCACACCCAGGACTGGTTTATGCGGATCTGCTGGTCGAAATTAACATGCCATAACTATTATGGTGAATTTCCAACTGCATTTTAATAATATATACCTACCGAATTCCTCGATGAACGTTTATGCGCTACGTTAATTTTGGCCGTGACCATAATGCCTACTTATCTGAAACACGCAAGACACAACAACAGTACAATGTCGCTGCGGTTGAAAATAATCGACATTGATTATTGAGATATCGATGAGATGTGCCTACATTTTACCATATCTATCATCTATTATGCCCATCTAAATTTTATTTATTTACTAGGAACCACGAATTCAATGACGACAAACAAAATTATTATATAGTGTTTGTTTTATGTATATCTATACATTTTGCACAGATCTATGAATAAATAATAATATTACACATCATAGTTGTCGACGAGTCATTATTTATAACACCTCATAGTGTATTAAAAATAATGTCTTAAAAGGACGACGTTGTGCTTTTTACTAACGCATAACACATCATTTATTACAGTCAGAATAATAGATCTATTGACATTTTTAACAGTAAATTGAATTTTTCTTTAATACAATTTAAATTTAACAACATTATCCGGGAAAGTTATGGTTTAAAATCAAAATATTAAAAAAAATCCCTTTAATCCCTACTTTTAAGGTTTTAAATTTGATAATAATCAACCTTAAAAACACTGAGTTACAAAATCATTCGAAAATCTTACCTTTATGGAAATCAAAAAAAATATGGTTTGTTATGTTTGTATTTGCTGCAACGATATTTTAATTTCAGTCATAGTAATCAATACTAAGTCTCACGCATGTAATGAATAATGCACAATATATTAATATAATATTATTTTCCTGTAACGTATATATCAAGAGTTGGGTACTTAAGTCCAATGAACCTATTGTGTGACACCTATTGGTTAGAACATTTCGTATTTCGGATTTTTTCCTCGTTCAATGAATTTTTATTCTGCATAGATAATATGAATGCTATAGTGATACCAGCGTATTGTCATCTGTGTGCTTATTCTGTGAATAGATAATGAATTTTGACGAGATGAACCAATTAACGAGAGCTATGCTATATAATTAATAAATTATGATTATAAACATAAGGAAATTCAAATTTTAATTTTTTTTTGTTTTGTTTTACAGAATGAAGTGGCTCAGGAGTGACGGAGGACCCATGTTCTACGGTTATAGTAACCGTACACCGGTCACAGGTGATGTGCAAATGATTACGACATGTCTGATTTTCGGGACGATTTTCACAGCATTTCTTATCATCTTCCCGGGTGTTCGCAAAGAAGTAAGTAATTCTGAATATTCATATATTATGCCCACTTTTATCATTCACCGTTCTAAAACAGTAATAGGTAGTTTTATTATCATAAAACAATATTTTTAAGTTTTATAAGCAAATCACAAATTTTTATACTCAACTAATTATCGTAGTTCAATTTGTATTTTTATTTGTTGTCTGAATTTGGAAAAAAGACATGGTATCATATCTGTGAAAGCTTAACAGTTTTCGTCAACCAAATTTAAATTCATTTTTTCTAATATATTATTAATTTAAATAAATGGCTATTTCAATTTTATAAATAAATATGAAGAATATTACCAAATTATTATTTGAACAGATCAGATTTACAATAGATTAATTATTAAAAAACATATTTTATTTTCGGAGGAACACTGCATACACTTGCGTTGGAACACGATGTATGTTATGTAATGTAATATGCTCCTACAGTCACGTCTTATTTCTTCCGGAATGAAAGTTTAAACCTTGTCAAATAAATACCTATTCTTACACGCCTACCAGGTAGATGGTAATGAATTTTTTTTTTCAGAGGTTCACCACCTTCACAACTGTCACCTTGAGTCTGTTCGTCGGAAACGTCATATTGTGTAAGTTTTTATTTTTGACAGTGTTTTGATTAATTCATTTAGTACATAAATGCATGAGCATCAATATATATATATATATAAATACATGCTTCTAAATATTAGCTAATATTATATTTCATTGTTGTAAAAAAAATCATACGTTATTCTATCCACCGTAATAATCATGCCGTTGTTTTCTACACGACAATATTAGAAATGTATTTAAAATCAAAACTGTCACGCCGCAGGTTCATATCGACAACCTCGTGGTGGAACAAGAGGTCATCGCCGTTTACGTAGCCAGCTGTAAAATAACGACTGTATTATGGATAAAATATGTGTGAAGTGTATAAAGTATATAGGTACGTGTTGGAGTTGAAATGTTAAAAAACGCCGGACGCGTTTGTAACTTAAACGCTAGTAAATCTAAACAAGTACTCGTATAAAGCAGAACAACGCATGATCGTATTAAAGGCGTACAACTGTACAAGAATCCAATTATCCGTGAGATTTCGGGGTACACGAACTTCGGTAACCGCGTTGGTTTACATATTCGATCGAGTGTTTATATATATATGCGTTATAATAATAACAGTCACTCATGACTAGACAAATACGTTATAGCAACTGTGTATGCGTATACATATAGTTAAGTATATAATATAGTATTTACACATCGGTTGCAATTCACGGATCTTGACCATGAAAACACGAGCATTCAGCCTTGTCGCGTTTACTGCAGATTTCCTCAGGCGTTTACTAAAAAAAAAAACCGCCTTAATTATGTATGGGTACACGGAGGCGACCGACGACGGAGATAATAAGTTGATTTTGCATACCTAGTTATAGTTTTTGATTTTAAATGAATCTATATATAATATCTTATTTCAGCCAATTTGTTTAAAAAATGTTTTCGTAATAATCGTAAAAAAAAAACGGCGTTATTAATTAATTTACATGATGTGTATAGTGTATGTAGAAATGTACACCCAATAATTGGTATTCCGTCGTTCCTGTGTTTCAAACGTGGTTAGCAGACATTAAATAAACAGTATACTTGCCGACATCTAATGGGGCGCGATGGTGTAATAAAGACGAATCGGACGAGATGTTATAACTTATAATGATATGTGAAACGTTTTAATTTTGCAAGTACCTATATATTATTCAATAGGGTAATTTGTTTATGTAAATCAGCTGAAAACACAAAATTATCACATACTCGTATATTATGTCTCATATTCACAACCGTAAACCGGCCGCCTTCACCTAGAATTATTTTCAAACGTAAACCTTGAACTTAATAATTTTTCAAAAAAGGTTTATTTAAATAGAACTTATAGAATATTAACATCGAAAACGTTATAATCTGTACAATATTAATTTATAATAATTTCAAATTTAAACTTAATGGATATGTTACGGGCAATGTGGAATACCGGGTAATGTAAACCACGATTTTTTTTCTTACCAACTAATATTATTTTTTATTATTATAGTAAATTATAATCATTACCTATTTATAGTATTGATTTTTTTTTTTAAACAATCATTATTAATTTTATTCATGTATCATTATAGTAAAATAAACTATGCATTTTTTAAACACTGTGTATAAACTTATTTTTGTTACTTATCGTATACTGCCAATTTAAAAATCAAGTGTAGAAAAGCAGACAGACTATGTAATTCCAAGTGCCATGCTTCTAAATCTTGTTCAAATAAATAGTTAATAATACAATTATACTTTATTATAAAAATAAAATTATGATACTTGTTAATTTGTTTTTGTTATTCCATCAAAATATTAGTAATAATATGGTACATGAATAAAATTAATAATGATTGTTTTAAAAAAAAATCAATACTGTAAATACTAAATAGGTAATGATTATAATTTATAATAATTATGAAAATAATATTAGTTGGTTAAAAAAAAATGTGTGGTTTACATTGCTCGAGCAGGACCACATTGACCGGGCAATGTACACATTGCCCTGTATTCCACATTGCCTGTAACAGATATAATTATTGTGTAATTGTGTGACATATACAAGTACCTAATGCCTATAATATTTTGTCGTTTTTTTGGAAAATCACACATTATTTTTCAGCTACTTCATTTTCAAAAATATCCGGGGACACTGATTTTTTTGATTGACGATAATTTTTAACATTTAAAGTTTTAACTGATAATAAAATGGTTGCGACAAAGTATAACGAACCACTATAAATTTCACTAATCATAAGTCGATAAGACTTCTGTACTTAGCTATTTTCATTTTTGTTTGAAGATAACGTCGATAGTTGTTTAATGTTTATTGAAGGACTCATTTTAATATATTTTTATCTAGACTTAAATGCGATTAAGAGACATATTAACAAACATAAAAATATTTAATCTTCCACTTTTACATAATTTATAAATATTGTTAAAACTTCTCTAAAATTGCTCCAAATCAAAAAAAAAAACACCAAAATTGCATTTGCTTGGAATAAAAAATATTGTTTTTGATTTAACAATTTTCCGTAACACATTTTTACGCTCGCTTGCAATCACTGCCCTAATATATTACATTATTATAAGATATTGTAATCCAATTACGGTTTTTGATTGAATCTTATATTCTTTAAACTATATGTTGTAATATCGTTAGTCTTAGTTGTTATTATTTAATTTATAAACATTTTTTGTAGATAGGTAGTGATAAGGCTGAATTGATACCCATTTTGGTTACTACTGGTGACAGTGGTATCGATGGATACCACTGGATATCCTTTAGGAAGTTATACCTAAAATTCGAGAACGCTACCCTTGGGTATTGTTTATAGAAACTGCCCATCTATTCTATATTATCTATGTATATAATATCCCCCCCCACGAACCTTAATGTTTCCATAGTATCTATGGTACGTAGTTATGACACTGTGAAATTCAAACCTTTTATCGCTGCCACCGTTTTTTGTTTTGTTTTGTATACGGTTATGGCAGAAGGAACTCGTGTGCATACCTTGTCTAATATCATTAGACAAACCATATAATATCTTAAGACGTCCGCATGATATGTGTGTGTGTGTGTGTGTGTGTGTGTGTGTGTGTGTGTGTGTGTGTGTTTATAATGTTTATACATGTGATCATTCATCCGGAATTAACCACAATTATCGTTAGTAAAAGTCAAGGAAACCTCAGTTCGACCACCTTGACAATCCGGATGTTAGACCGATCTGTGTACTTCCTATTCGGCGTTTGAGCAACATGTGAACACTAATGCAACATACCTATCTATAATATATACTAGTAACGCATTCCTCGACTCCGCCAAAACCATTATTCGACCTTGCCCAAAATGCGCAATCGTTGAATCACAAACATATTATACAATATATGTATATCTACCACCGACCTTCTCGATCGTCAATCGCTAAAAATATCACGTTGATATTATTACTTATATTTATATATTCTGATAAGGCATATTATACTATTAATATTAAACTACGTGGATTTTTACACGATTTTTGTTGGAGTTTTTCCTGAACAATTATCACGATTTTATCATTAGGGAATAAAATATAGTTGTAGAGTTAGGTATGGAAAAATGTGCGATTGTCGCAGAACACTTGGTCTGCGACCTTTAGTCATTGTTTCCGCTTTAAAACGAAGTTTTCGCTAGTTTTTACGAAAAATAAATGAAATTAAAATGATAATTCTGGTTTTGCGTTTACTATTCATAACAAGTGGATTTTGGTTTGGTTCATTAGTCATTTGGCCTAGCGCTATTAATTTTGTCCCATTCATTTGTCAAATTATATTTTCTTCTGTCATATTGTCCAATTTGTCCTTCGCAAATATACTAAACTAACTAATTTAAAAGAAACGGGTGATATCTTATTGAGAAAGAATATTCAATAATCTGTATTTGAAAATCGCAATAAAAGATTTATTAATATAATTTCTATCACCTTCAAGTTTGATGAAAAATCGAGAACGTTATATTTGTATTCGAAGGACTTTTATGAAATCAATATATTAAAACTAAATAAGTGTTATCGTCCAAGTGTACTAAAGTTTAAAAGTACATGATATTCAGTTTAATATTGCTGCGCACTAACTTAAATGTCTATATTATTGTCCTGAATAGATTAAATGCTTATTTCACTAAATGGTTGTTGATTGGTATTATAATATCCCCAGAACCATTTTGCAACAACAGATTAAAAAATTATTTTAAAAAAAAATCCGATTTCTTTCATTGCAAATGTCCACGAATTAAAATTCTCACATATACAACAATTTAAAAAAGATATAGCTGTTTTTAAATTCCTTTTTTGTTAAATATTGAATCAAATTTTTTTCTGTCATTAGTAATTCCACAAGATATACCATATTATTATTGTTATCTAACATAATATTATTACATATTATTATAACTAGTATTTATAATTATTAGCATTTACCATTTAATATTATATGTATGGTTGTGGCCTGTGGGGCATTCTTTCGAATTACATTACCTATAATCAGAATATAGATTATGGGTGTACAAACATATATTGTCGTCAATCATTTCATCCGAAACGGGTGTAATACAAATATTGAAGTACATATACGATTCATATAATATATAATTAAACCTGTAAATGTGGATTTCTTGAGTCGAGTTTTCTATAAATATAGTTTAGATGTATCATTTAAAAAACTTCTGTTTTTGAAATGTTCATTATATAAATATATAAGAACAATTAATTCTTTATTTCATAGCATTAGAATCATTGTATTTGTTTAATAAATCGTTGGTTATGATTTATAAAAGACAAATAAATTAAGGAATGTCAAGTCGTACAGCGTTCCAGATAGGTACCTAAAGTTATAGGTACTCTTTGGGGGGTTTGATTTTTTTTTTGAACCTTGATGCGTCACAATTAACGGAATTTGTAAAATTAATCCTTAGATCGTATTTACATGGAAATAGTATGGAGTTTGTAACAAATAACAGCAAATCTCCTAAATGTTTCTCAGA